AGAAATTGTCATCTCGAAGAAACTTGTTTAACTGACATAAACTATATTTTGGACAGTATGATTAAGATCATGAAACCTTTTCCTATGACATGAAAATTACAGACAGGGATAAGGTCCTGGTGCATGTAAACTAAAAGCTATAGTGAAGTGGATCAGGATGAAACACAGAGGATATTTATGCTTAAGCTAAACTCATACCGATTGTAGACTAAGCACATAACAAAAATAATACGCAAGTGAAAGTAAAACATGAATACTAAATGTTCTCATATAACTCTAAGGACGTGTTTTTAGAATGCAAAACGTATCCTTTTAACTTTCTTGGAACATGAATACATAAATTTCCTATTGAGTATCATAGCTATATTATGTGGTTCTACCATCTTAAGGGTTTCCGCATAAATATTTATTGTACTAAGATATATAACCATTATGTGTATTTATTCTTGGAAATGTTTACAATCCTGTGTATTGAAAAATTAATAATTTAGTTAGTATTATTCGTGTTTAGAAGGGGACAACAAAAAGAGTACCAATGTTCATCAACTTCCATTTGCGAACGCAAGCAAGGATTTCACTGACATTGCACGACAAATATCATGCATAAGAACAATAGAATTTTCAAAATAAAACATTACATAGATTTTTTTGGGTGAAGTAGTATAAATTATTAATCAATGTAAAAATTCAGAATATAACAGGACCATACCTGGAGTGGAACCAATGGATTTCTTCTAAGAGGTCTTTTAATGCTATCATCTTCATCAAGATTTTCTCTTTCAGACATTCTCCTGAGCACCCGAGCGACATTGTTAACCCAAATCGCAAATTGTTGCCCAAAAAAAAAATCAAATTCCTCCAAAACATCAATTCTAATCCCACCAGTTTTCATAATTCAAATGGGTCATTTAGAAAATAACAAAACTACATACCTTCATCCAAATTTTATCTGGCAATTCCTCCCCTTTCCTAGCTTTTTCCAACTCTATGCTCCTACAATTTAAAAAATTAACAAAATAATAAAAATTTGCAAACAGGGAGTAAGTTAGTAATTGAAGTTGAGAAATTTAGCTAACCTGCGGAGATTTTTTAGGAGATCACCAAGCTTGTCTCATTCTTAACAGCTTGAAATTGACCTGTTCGGTTAAAACAAACCAAATAAAATACTACCTTTAATTAGAAAGAGGACAGATAAAAAGAAGAAAGAAAAAGAGAGATAATGAACTGTTGAGGAGCCAGGCTGAGGTTGGCGTTTGCTTTGAGTGGCTTCTGAGTTTTTCTTTACTTTGTGCCATGTTGTGTTTACGCAGCCTGCTTTTATGCTGGAGTTCGCATTGTAGAGGATGGAAATACCACATTTGGAGAATGTTTTAGAGCACATATTATTTTATAATTATGTTTTTAGATATATACAATCACAGTGCATTACTTTGAAACTTCTTGTAGGTGCCTAAGGTTAAATAAAATATTGGATTATCTAGTAACAGTAGTCATTACAAGTTTTAAACATAATTGATACTTCATCAACCTTAGGATCAGATAATTGACAATGTTAGTACTATGTGATAGTTATCAACGTTGAACACAGTATAAGAGCATAATTCACAGCAGTCAAAATAATAAACAAAAGGTCAACCAGATATTAGCAAAGAACAAATACTGGCTACTGCCATACTTGTTCCACTACTAAGATGAAAGCTCTAAATTTTGTATTGAAAACTCTCTGGACAGTTCTACATACAAAATTAAACCCTTGTCTCAATCACTATTGCAGGTTTTCTATGCTCTTTCTCTGGCAGCCATGGGAACTTCTCACTCGAGCAGCCTAGCACCAGATTCCAGCAAAGCGAAAACAGCTGCAGTTCTATATTTGCAGTTCTTGACCAAAAGTCCAGCAGATATTCTAGTGACGATTCTGGAATGAAATTAGAAACTATAAAAGGAAACATTTAGTTTTTGGCACATCAGTTTCAAGTACCCCACAACGCCAGATATTCAGATCTTCCAAGACCTAGCTTGTCAATTCAATCTGGAAAGGTTAGATACCTTATGTAATTTTAAAATTTCCTGATTGTTCCTAAAATAAGACTCGTTTAAGTGATTAGTAAGACAGGAAATGCATTAATGAACTTTATCGTTCTGAATCTGCTATTTCAAATTACACATAGCCCTACAAATCCTAGTCTCAATCACTATTTCAGACTGTTGCATTGGGGGGGTGGGGGGGAGGGGGAGAACGGAAGCGGGAAATCAACTGCACTACAATTGCCACAGAGATTTTATGATCCCGATTTGGGTAATATATCAAAAGATGGGATTGAGATATCAAAGTTCCAGGTGAAGTAGTTGAGGCAGCAAATGTGCCTTGTGAGCCAAAAACCAACATTGTTCAATGACACTCTTCGAGCCAAGACTGCCTATGGAAAGGAAGGAGAGGGTACCGAGGCAGAAATTGTTGCTGCTGCTGAGTCAGCAAACGCGGACAAGTTCATATGCAGTTTGCAGCAGGTTGGTTCTTGATTCAACAATTATGGCTAAAGTTAATGCTAGTCTAAATTTCATATGTCTTCTAGTTTCTAGCCTTATGTCGGAGTCGATACCCAATACCTCAAAATTCGGGGTTAATTTGGTTCCAATCTCTGTTTAATGTCCATTTATATCCCAAAGGGCAGATCTCTCCCCAACACTATAGAATAAATAGGATGCTTATAAGTAGATATATAGTCTATAATTTTGTCAGTTGAATTCAATCAATTGTCAAAATAGGCTTATGATCTGACATATGTCGGTCCTGAGTCCCTGATCCATGAGGTAGTGCTAAAAATTATTGCTAGTCTAAATTCTATCTATATGTATAAGCAATTTGAAACTGAATCAAAACAATTTTTTGAAGAATAACGGTAGGTTAAATTTCTCGTGACTTTTTTTAAGAATAATGGCAGGTTAAACTTCTTCTGTTTCATCAATAGGGATTTAAAGAAACAACTCTAGATATAGGAAAATGATGTTTCCCATCAAACACAAGTTAATACATAAACTACAAGAAGCTAAATAGATAAAAAAACTGTTCATTTAGGAGGTCAAGGGAAAGTAGTGTATCGTATCCATTCAGTTAAATGTGAGTTTGATTTAAAATATAAGCATGAGGTGAAATTTAGTCCCACGTTGGAAAAAGAGGCCTGTCCAACCCTAACAATATATGTAAAAGCAAAAAACAAAAAAAAACAAAAAGTGATAAAATCATTTACCCTCAATATTAGTGTACACTATAAGGGCACAACTCACTCTAACATTTAACAAGGATTATATGAGCTGCTAATGTATAGATAGGTATTGACACCTTGATCAAAATACACCCCTTGGCATATACTCTAATATCTGTTCTTGAACTTTTTTTTAAATTTTATTTTTGGGAAATACAGGGTAATGACACAATGGTTGGAGCGCGAGGGATTCAGTTATTGGGTAGTCAGAAGCAACGTGTAGGAATTGCATATTTCATCATAAAGGAACCCAAGATTTTGCTACTTGATGAAGCAAGTAGTGCAATTGGTGCTGAATCTGAAAGAATAGTTCAAGATGCTCTAGATCGAGTTATGGTCAATAGAACCACAATAGTCATTGCTCATCGACTGTCTACAATCAGAGGTGCTGACACTATTGCTGCAGTTAAGAATGGTATGATCGTAGAGAAAGGGAGCCATGAGGCTCAGATGAATTTTGAGGATAGGGTTTCTGCCTCTTTAGTAGCACTTCACTCTAGTTCTACTTCATAGTGAACATCATTTTGCACTGACAACTTTATCAGGTTAAGTTTTGTTTTCATTTATGTTTCTTTAAATAACTCATGTCTACAATGGAATGCGTTGATATGTGATATGTGATATGCAACGTTGGACGTTAAATCTAGCCCTTATCTGATGACTCCTAGAAAGAGAAAATGATGACAAATTAGTGAGTCCATCTGAAGGTAAAATAGTTAAAAAGAAATTTCATGGAGGGGGTATAACTGCCAAAATTTCACCCAATTGCAATTTCAACTTGCTGAATTTTGAACATAAACAAGACTTCTACAAATTGCAACTAATACAGGAGCAGTTGCATCGAAATTAAAGTTGCAAGCAACCTAACAACCCAGAAGATTAATTTGTAAAAGTCTTAAAATACCACAGTAAAAACAATCACATTAGCCAACCCTCAATATTCAAAGTAACCAGTGAACATATATAACATACAACAAAAGCAACTAGCTCGACTATGTTTTCTTTTCAAAGTTAATAAGTTAGACATCTTACCTGTCCAAAAATCAAATTGTGATAAATAGTCAAACTCTGATAAATTACTCCAGCTACACAGTGGACAAGTGACCTCCCCCACTACACTAAGAAAGGGCATCAGATATGTTCATTTACTGTCGTGTTGATACTGCTTCCTCTGACCTGCATAATAGCAAACAAAATAGACGTAAACTAAAGAAACCAACTCTATTAGAATATGAACAAAATTTAGTTTAAAACTTGACCTCTGCTTTATTCCAATAGCCACAGCTGTTTTTAGGCTCACCAATTCACCTAACCTTATGGACCCTCCTTTGTTATCTTTGATGGAGATTAGGGGGGCATTTCTTGAGGATGCCAGGTTTGGTATATGCTTTGTCAGTGACCGAGGGTTGCAATCTGAAGCTAAAAAGATGGCCTGCAACAGCCACAAGATAGCTCCAATTAACCGAT